TTTGTACATTCCCTATTTTACATGAAAAATGAGTAAAATTGTACCTACAACTAGTGTAATATCTTTATAACGGATTATGTAACGAGTTTAAGGTGATTTTTATCGAAAAATAACCATAACGAATGCTCATTCGTTATAACGAATTTACATTCGTTATGATGAAATTTCTAACGAAAGTGATTCCCGTTTTTGGTTTTTTTTTATGGAATGACGTATTAAACATTGTATCTTGGTCATATATCACCTTTGAACGATAGTTTGGACCCATTCAGGCGTGGAAATACTCATAACGAAACTCTTTTTGTGAAATAAGTACACTTGTCTTTTTTTTTGTTTTTGAAAAATAAATAAATTATATAAAATCTTTGTACATTCCCTATTTTACATGAAAAATAAGTAAAATTATACCTACAACTAGTGTATTACCTTTATAACGGATTATGTAAACGAGTTTTAGGTGTTTTTTTATCGAAAAATAACCATAACGAATGCTCATTCGTTATGATGAAATTCCTAACGAAAGTGCTCCCGTTTTGGTTTTTTTTTTTTTTTATGGAATGACGTGTTCAACATTGTATCTTGGTCATATATCACCTTTGAACGATAGTTTGGACCCATTCGAGCGTGGAAATACTCATAACGAAACCCTTTTTGTGAAATAACTACATTTTTTTTTTGTTTTTGAAAAATGGATAAATCATGTAAAATCTTTGTACATTCCCTATTTTACATGAAAAATGAGTAACATTGTACCTACGACTAGTGTAATATCTCTATAACGGATTATGCAACAAGTTTTAGGTGTTTTTTATCGAAAAATAACCAACGAATGTACATTCGTTATGATGAAATTCCTAACGAAAAAGCTCCTGTTTTGGTTTTTTATGGAATGACGTGTTAAACATTGTATCTTGGTCATATATCACCTTTGAACGATAGTTTGGACCCGTTAGAGCGTGAAAAATACTCATAACGAAACTCTTTTTGTGAAATAACTACTTTTTTTTTTTTTTTTGAAAAATGGATAAATCATGTAAAATCTTTGTACATTCCCTATATTACATGAAAAATGAGTAAAATTGTACCTACAACGAGTGTAGACATGGCCGCGGGCCGGGACCGGGAACCAGAACCGGCCCTTAACCGGTCACGTAAGGGCCGGTTCGTTGGACCAAACCGCGTCCCGGTTGGCTCAATTTCTTTTTTTGTCCCGGCGGTCCAGGCCGGGTCGCGGGCTGAAACCAGGCGATGTGTGTCTTTTCATTTTTTTTATTTTTTTTTTATTTTTTTTTTTAAATTTGAACCGGCCCTAAGCACTTTGTGGTTCGGTTACGGGCCAAGGTGTTGAGGACCGTAGGCCCGGTGGGCCGGGCCGGGCCGGGTCCGGACCCGTTGACTGGCCATGTCTGAACGAGTGTAACATCTTTATAATAGATTATATAACGAGTTTTAGGTGTTTTTGATCGAAAAAGAACCATAACGGATGTACATTCGTTATAACGAATATACATCCGTTATGACGAAAATCGTAACGAAAGTGCTCTCGTTTAGTTTTTTTCTGATAGAATTACGTGTTAAACATTGTATCTTGATCATATAACACATTTGAACGATAATTTGGACCCATTAGAGCGTGGAAATACTCTTAACGAAACTCCTTTTATTTTTTATTTTTTTTGAAAAATGGATAAATCATATAAATCTTTGTATATTCCTTATTTTACTGAAAAATGAGTATAATTGTACCTACAACGAGTATAATATCTTTATAATGGATTATGTAATGAGTTTTAGGTGTTTTTATCAAGAAATAACTATAACGAATGTACATTCGTTATAATGAATGTGCATCCCAGGACGTCGCGGCCGTGACAGGCGTCGCGGACGCGACACTGACATGGACAGAAACCTTGCCAGACCGTCGGGGGCGCGACGACTGTCGCGGGAGTGACACACGGAGGGACAGAACCCTTGCCAGGACATCGCAGGAGCGAACTATCGCGGGCGCGACAATGACAGCGACAGAACCCTTTCCAGGACGTCGTGGACGCGACGACTGTCGCGGGCGTGACACTGACAGATACTTGGTCCTTTTAGAAATAGATAGATAATGAACAATCGTTATACTAGTATATTTTACATTAAAAATGGCTGAAATTATACCTGTAACTAGAGTAATATCTTTATAATGTGTTATATGACGAAGGTAGAATCGTTATAGTTGTATTTTATAAAAATATAACCATAACGAATGTACATTCGTTATAATGTATGAAATAACAAAGGTAGATCCGTTATGTTGAAAATCATAAATGTTGAGCGATGAAATTGTTTAAAATTAACACAAGAAATCATATCAATCAAACACATCAAAGTCATAGCCAAAACAAGAGTCTTTGCTAAATCCAAATGTCGATTCCAAAACACAAACCAAATCATAGATCAAATCCACATTGCAATAGAAGAAAGAAAAAAGTATGGAATAGGCTAGTGCGAAGTCGATTCCAAAAACACAAACCAAATCACAAAACAAATCCTGGGAGTCTCTGTAGGGGCGCCACGGCGTGGACGAAGGCATTGTCGCGCCGTGGGGGTTTGCCGTGGGGCGGCTTGCTTCCGTGCACGACTTCGCTTCTCAAGCTCGTTTGGACTCGTCCAAACTCGGAATTTGATTCCGTTTTTTCCTACGCATCGCCAACGAACCCCTCTATTTAATGACACTTTCATGTACAAATTATTATTGAAGTCATATTCTCCCAAAGCTCTTGACCTACACACTGAACGTGATTTGCGCGACTTCGCCTTTTGGGCCCGATCGGATTCGTCTAAGCTCGAAATTGGGTTCCGTTTTTTCCTATATGTCATCAACGAACCTTTCTACTCAATCATATTTTCCGGGTCAATTTTCGAGCTAAATCCATTCCTCACAGGGCTTCGGATCTGCACACTAAAAACAAGAAGAAAAAAAGAAGAAAATCGACAAAATACACGAAAAACACATAAAAAACCAAAATAGAGCAAAACACACCATAAACTACCAAACGAACTAAAAACCACTAAAAGACTTAAAACGACAAAACAGTAACGAAACACAAAACAAAAATGGTCATAATAGATATATTCCAATTCGTTGAACATACGAATTTGTTCAACATTTCGTTCAACATACGAATTCCAATAAAGATATAACAATTTGTTCAACATACGAATTCCCAAACTACTAATCTGGATTATCACTCGAAGCTATATTCCAATTCGTTGAACAATTTGTTAAACACGATTTTCTACCCATGAATCAATATAAAACATAAAGCTTCTTCAACAATTTCAAAATCAATCTGTCTGAGGGAGAGATTGGCTCTAATGAAACTAAAACACTAAGTTGGCAACATTGGAACTAAAAAATACGATATTATTATCATCTCTTCTACCCTTAGTGCATAAAACCAGGACTCACATGAACTTAAAGCTTAAAGCTTGACCAGGAATCACTGCAAAACTTAAATCTTTACCAATAATTTCAAAATCATTACATTTAAATACAAGGAATCTTGGACAATTTGCCCATCATATTGTGGCTTGAGGTGGACGCTGTGATTGTCACGGGCTCGGCATAAAGGATGAGGGGGACAGAAACCAAGACAACTACCACTATCTTATGAATGGGAGGGTAGAGTACCAATAAAGGGTGGCAAGCATAGCTGGTTGAATTAGTACCCGATATACATATACGCTTATGCCTCACTTATTCTGCGAGAGGTTTTAGGAAACCTCTGAAGAAAATGTTCGATTAGGATGGCTTTGGATTGCCATTGGATTCGTGCCTCAAGACTCTGCCACTGGGACTCGGTTGGAAGAATTTAATGCGACCATCTCTTTTCGTTTAATCACGAGAGTTAATTCAAAAGCTTTTTTCTTATCAAATGACTTCTTTTGAGCAAAAAATAACAAATTTTCTAACAATAAATATTAACAAAAGAGATGAAAATAATAACAGAGAAAATCTAATATGAGTTAGGAGAGATGCTTAAAATTGCAATAACAAAACAATTTCCAATCAGTACAGACATTAAAATCAAAGAACAACAATATAGAAAAATTTTATCAAATAACTTTGAGGGACAGAGCGAGAGGGCGATAGCGAGCACAAAAGTTGCTGGCTAGCGTCCGCTCAATAGTTCGATCGGTACGAGAGCGAGAGGGCGAGAGTGGAGGAATTGGGAAGTTGATTTTTTTAATTTTATTTTTTTGTTTCTGAACGTTGATGAAAATGGGGAAGGAGGAAATAAGAGGTGTAATAGAAGAGGACATGTTTGTCATTTTATGTTCAATATTACTTTCCATTAAGTTTTATTTTAATTTTTGAGTCAAAGGTCATTTGACCAATTTTTTGCCTTGGGAAGGCTATTTGAACTAAATACCACGCTCGGTTAGTTTGGTTGTATAAAAGTTGATATTTTATTATAATATATCAAATTTAGAATATTAGCCACACGGTTACTTTAGTTGGAAGTTAATTTTTCCAGTTAGTGGCCACACTTGTTCACACCCCTTTATACTGGCGTGAGATCAAAACATATAGACGTTTATTTGGGAGAGTACACGCGGTTCAGTTAAAACCCTACACTAGCCGTAAATCTCATTCTTTCCAAACATATAAACAATTTGCACACCAAATCAGTATAGAAAAATGCTACAAGTCCACTTGATTTTTTATCCCACTAAATGTGAGTGTTATGTACACCTCTATGTTATGTATTTATAGCATTTCTCATCAATATAATATCATATTACATAAACGGTACAGTATTATACTGCAACTCACTTTCAATTCACATGCCAATTATACAAGTCATGCGAGCTCAGTGGCGCTATCTTAGTTGCTGCAAAGGAAAAGAAAAAAACTAATTGGCTATTTGAAGCTCGTCATAATAATTCAGCAGCAGAAATAATTTTCGCATAATAAACTTACATACAAATGTACAAAGAAGACGAGTTCTTCAGTTGATAGAGACTACACGTGGTAGAATGATTGAGAAGGGTGCCACATTGCTGCATATGACAATCCAAGAATCCGAGCAGATAAATTGAGCGTCTTGAAGCTTGTATCCATGGAAGGATGGAATTTGAAATCCTTTACCTAGTTTTAAATTTATGTATGGCACGATGACAGTTTTGAGTGTTGTGGACATTATTGTCTGCAAATACAATACATATGGCTTATGATCGCTTGAAAAAATTAAGAAAAACACGGGATAAGATAACTAAACAAACCCTGTTTTGGTGGATAAAAGAATAAACAGATTTATCAAGTCTTGCATTTAAAGAGGTAAATAAAATTTTCTAGCAACGGTTTGGTGCTCATTCATACAGGTAAATATGTGAGAGGGAATGAGAATTTTCTAATTATCAAAGCAAGGGGGTTATTTTTGTTGTACCCAGCCCAAATTTCGGGCAGATATTTATAATAATCCATAATAATGACTGCTAGGATAATTTATAAATTATTTGTTATATTTCCAAAAATTACGACAATCTGAAAATACAAATCACACATTATCTGTGAAGGATGTATCATTTGAAAGGAACTTTTCTTTTCCATTTTTTGATGCAACAAAATATGCGGGAAATTGTGAATTTATTTCCACCAAACAAGTGAAAGACTGCGCTTTCCTGTTACTTAGAACAATCAATTCAAAGAAGTGAAAAAAATTGATAGCAGCATACCTGGATTAGATGCATGTGCAAGTCACCAATATGACTCCATTTAAGAGACATTGTGAAGTCCATTAGTTTTAAAACACCAGACACCACATTCTGTGAAATTTCAGCAGATACAGAAGCACGGATCACCTGCATCAATAACTAAATAGGTCACTTACTTGTATCAAGAAGCAACTTATACACACACAAACAATATGACTGTTTCTATTATACATGTAATAGCCAAAAAATAGAATTTATTTCATTTAACGCTTCATAGTAGCTAAACAAACAGAAACTCAAACTGTATTCATAATTAGGTTAAACCTCAAGGGCAGTTTTCGTAATTTACCTTAGACCAACAACATAAACCCAATATTCAGTAACCAAGGTATGACTGCTTCTATTGTACAAGTAAAAAGTTTATGATCAACTACTATGACTGCAGCCATGNCAACCGATCTGGGGGGTCAGTTGTACGCAGACCTTACCCTTGTAATTATACAAGGAGACTGTTTCCGTAGCAACCCAAGGTGCATTGCTCCGTTTGATATTTTTTTTTTTCTAGAAACTTCACTAATAGAAGAAGCACTAGAATTTAATTGAGCCATTTTGATCTAGTCCATTATTAGCACTATGCCAGGAGAATTGTCAAAAAAAAGAAACCTAATAGCAGATGACATGTAATAACAGTGGCTTCACTAATAAGCTTACCGTGTAAATGCATACAACTGGCACCAATTCCTCCCCATCCAAAACATCAATCACCACATCTAAGGGGATTTGTGCTATGATCTGCTGCTTCTTGATTTTTATGGTTGGATTGGATGATACAGAAAGATTTAGATTCAAGTCATGATTCGGATACATCTTGTACAACTGTGGAACAATAAACCTCCACCCAGCTGTGTTCATGAGAGTTTGATCCGAAGCTTTATCAATCATCCAGTGCATCTTGCTTGCCTACTAGGAAAATTTCGAACTATTTACTTGGTCTTATATGAGATAGAAATTTAAGATAATCAATAGTTCGATGAAGGCTGGAGGCAAAGGAAATGCCCCCACTACCAGGATATTAGCAGTCAATTACAATATACATAGCCTTGCAAGTTCAGAGGTCAGTAATTACTAATGTAATTACTAAATTATTAATTTTCTTGCATACCCCTACATAATGATCGATTAAATGTGAGCAAGGGAATAACAATATAATAGGAACTTTCAAGTCCAATAAATGAATTTCTTTAAGTGTGCACAAAAAGGAAGTAGATAATCGTATAGGATGTGGAGTAAATATAAATGGGGGAAACAACTTTCGAAATTAAAAATATACTCTCGTATTTATACAAAACATATTTAAATAAAAACACCGAGGAGGCATAACATGAGAAGTTGAGGTGGTATTTTTACTTATTAACAGATACAATACTTTGAATATGGTGCAACAGAACCTCATTGTGTAACTTCATTATCTCTTGACATTACCTAGTATTGTAAATCATATTGCGCCAGGATTGACCACCAAAGAAAGTCCATTAAGGCATTACTAAAGAAAATTCACCTCAAAGTAAACTGATGACGCTGATCCAAGCACGTCTTCATGCAGTGAGATTCGGACCATCTTATCAGCTTCCTTGCAGGCGAAGGAATCTTGTAGTAATCTATGATTATGGGTGGTATGGGCAACTTCATTCTTACTAGAGATTAACCCATCTATTTCGAGGTCAACCGATGAACCGCTAAAATCTGGATCATCCACTAATGTAACATTGAGTGTAGCGATTTCAGTAACTGGTACTTCTTTAGGAAGTGATTGCAATAGGGAGTCGAGCTTCACAATTGCATCTTTTATTTTATTAGAAACAGCAGTTTCAATTGAAGAACCAATTTTACCCTCAAAAGCATCCAGCAACCTGGAAAATAAACAACCATAAAAATAGATTGCATGTTTAATTAGAGAAGGCTGTAATAAGACACCAAGGGCAGGATAACTATCAAACAAAAATAGGAAGCAAAAGAGTCTTTTGTTAGCTTAATTTTCCACACAATTTTTTAAAATCTACTTGATAGCGCAGGTGTTTAAGAGAGGTGTAAGATAGAAGTACAATTCTCAATTCCAAAAAAAAAAAAAAGTTGTAGTTATTGCATCTTAGAATTTGAAATACTCTGTACTCAAGATGAATCAAGACATTATTAGGCACAAGGCAATAAGGGCAAGTACAGAAGGTTTTAAGGTAGTTTCTGAGCCAACAAATTACCAGGACAAGCATATTGAGTGGGATCCATCTTTTTTAGTAGGAAGCATTGAATACGCTATTCTATTCAATTGAGCTAGTTATAGATGTCGAGGGTGGAATTAATAAAGCACGCTATACAACTAGTATAGCATGCAATAGTAATCCACTACTTGAGTTGACATGATGCCTGCTTCAATATAAAATCACAGTTTTTTGCCCCATAATTGCGCACCTAAGTTGTCAATTAAGATCTATTTCTTGAAAATATATGCACAGAGACAATATTAACAGGACGAGCCATCAAAGGCTTGACAGGACATTCATGCGCAAAATTCTACGATGCCCATAAAGCTTAAGGATAAAGAATCCACTTACAATTTTTTTATTTGAGTTCACCATAGCAGTAAATAAAATCTAAGTTC